TTTCTCCCTGTCTGTATACGTGATGACTCACCATTGCTTATCACTTTTTCCAAGAGAAGGGACTACTTCTATGAAGGTGCATATCAGTTTTACGTGCCACGCTGCACTGAGTGGTTGAATTGTGGATGTAGTTCATAGCTGGTGGGAATGTGGTTGGTTGCTAATTTTTAAATATCTAAAAGTGCTGCATAAAATATAACATCCCCAAGATTGCACAGGAGAGAAGGTAGAAAACTGAGCTGCGTTGATTTCTAGTTAGATTTGAGCTCTGAATTTCGCTCCTCAACTTTCCACCCCTGACGCCGCACCTCCCTTTCGTATTTTCACAAACAACACACACACTTGTCTTGCTTTTGCCTTTCAGACTGTTCATACCCAGTGAATTGCTCTAACTCCAATAGGAATTACCTACTAAAATCACCTTCCTAGATTTTAAATCTGGTTCTGGGTGAAGGAAATAAACTTTCCTGCCCCTCAGAACTGCCTTCCAGATCTGTTTCCTATTCTGGCTTCTAATACTTGCCTGACCTCCTTATCTTTCCTGGCTGTATTCTCAACCTGCTTTCTGGTCTGACTTTTATAGTCTGAGGACATTCTTACCATAGCCTAGCTCCTCTGCTCTCAGAATCCCCCTGAGGCCCTTCCTCTGTGACATCCAATCCCTTCATCTTTAGGTTCCTTATTATCCCTGGATTTTCTCATTTAACTTAGTTTCATGGTTCCCCTATCTCCTGAAGGTAAACATAGTTTTATGCCCTGGCTCTAGAAAGTCAAAGTTCTACAGAGAGGAGAATAATTCTCTTCGTGTCCTTTAGAACATTCACCTCAATTCACTTTGAATGAAAATGACAAGGTTTATGGTAATATTTTTCTGAAGTACAAACACCAATGCCATGGCTGATTCTCTATTACATTTAGTAAAATAATTATGGAAATGGAAGTTTTTCATTTTACTATTCTTACCATTTTCATACTTTTTAATATGATTTAGGTTTTCCTTTAAGGATTAACTAGCTTAAAACAAGAAAAGTCTTGAGCACCTATTCTTTTTCTTTTTACATCCTTGTCTCATTGACCTTTCCAAAGTAGAGGTGATGACATGTAGTATTTCTTCCATACTGACCTCCCACTTCCTGTGCCAGTTTTCAACTCTTTACGAGTAAAGAAGTTAATAAAGGAAAGAGAGGGAACTTTGATGCTGCCAACTCTTAAGCAATTTAAGCTGTGACTTTACTAACCTTAAAGTAAATGAAGCCAGATCCAGTAGCTGCACGATCAAATGCTGTTACAGGATAATTTAGTCCAATTGAATATTACAGTAATGGGGGGAAAATGAATTCTGTGCACATTGAAGTTTCTGCTTCTCCAGGAAAATTAAACTGCTGAATGTCCATGTACCCCACTGAAACTATCTCAAATTCACCTTAGCCTGCTGTGTGAATGTGAAGGTCAAATCTGTTGACCTAGCTTTCTGGAATAGATCTCCAGACTGGAACCACTCATTTCCCCCTGTTCCTAAAAGCTTGTCTTATCTGTATAGTTTGAAGAACTAGTTTAATTTCACAAATGGACAATATTAGAATACAAAAAATTATTTTCTCCACTTAGCTTTATGGTTCCGAGGATCCTATGGAATTTTACAATCACTGATTGACATATAACTGAGGTCCACATATATGCTGACTTACTAAGCCATTGAGAATCTACTGTAAATATTTGTTAACTTTCCTTCCATGTAAGGGATGCTAAAAGTTTCATATTTTTATGGAAATATCTTAGCTCCAAAAGGCATATGAAGAAAAGATGTGGAAGAAAAAATATTGAATGCTTATCTTCTGGTCAAGTAAGCATGTACATATTATTTACTCTTCTCCAAGCCACTGGCAAGAAGCTGCAAGCACTGAAAAGTACGTTATCTATCCTGAGGTAGCACATAGAATAGGAGAGAACTTAAAACATGGTCACTAGCCACTATGGTACCAGAGAGTGCAGGCCACAGAAAGTGAATAAAAAGGAAAATTTCATATTCATGAGGTAGAGAGACGCAGGGGTGAGGAGGAAGGGAGTGAAGGGAGGGTAGGACTTGAGATAAGTCCAGAAGAATAATAGAACTGGAAATTTTAAGGAAAGATCTGATAAATATAAAGGAGGGGGCACAATACATTTCAAAGACAGAGAATAATATTTAATCTAAGATCAAATTCTGTCAGTATGCTCAGAGTCATATGGTTACTTTGCATGATTTCACAAAAGAGAAAGAAGGGAGATTATAGATACCCCTTGTGAATGGGCATCTTAAATAATTGCATAACTCAGCATGAAGTTCATCCAAACATTTTTTGTTTCTAAATGAAATAACAGCTTCTGAACTGCATCCTATAGTTGACCCTCAAACCGTTTCCATGGTAAGTGGCTGAATCACTAATGGATATTCAAAAGGCGTCTTAGCAGATACTGACAAAAACCTGTTAAGGGGCAACATCCATATACTGATTTCCCCTTGATGGTGCAGAATATGTTAACTTTATTCAAGCATTTGTGTGAGACACAGTGTAGCACTAAGAACTTTCTACCTTAGGGTACTAAACTCTATTGCTTCCCAAATCTTAGGGTTCATCTCTGATTTTCTGCTGACTATTGCATAGTCTTCCCAACCATCCATGCACCCATACATACACACATCATCTATACTGAACGTCATTCATTGAGCACCCACTCTTTGTCCAACACAGTGCTAGGTACATAGGAACATACAAAAGAAGTATACAAAATTGCTCTTCCCCTCATAGAACTCATCATTTTACAAAAGTCACATCAAATTCTCATTTTCATTATTTTTCATTCTACTTTCCACCACATGATTATGATCAACTTTTCTAAGTGTAATTCTCTTGCTGTAAGAGTTCCTTTGTTTTTATTCCATCCACTTGCCACCTTGCTTCTTTTACACTATAGTTTAGGATTGCCTAATCTCTCATTTTTGTCTAGAAGCACCACTTTGCACACATCATTTTAGCAACAAAAACTCTCCGTATGGCCTTCACTTCCTGCCTTTTTTTGAGTCTCTCTACTCTCTGCAAAAATATATATCCCAATTTCATTTATAGTTAGATGCTTACAATTAAAATGCCACTGTCCTTGTTAAGTTGCTTTAGTGATATTATTCTCTGCCAAACCATGGTAGCTGTAAATGAGATTTGAGACTCATTTTCGTCAGACCAAACAAAACCTAAATTTATGTGCACAATTGGTGGCCAGTTTTCCTTCTTCTGCAAACACGATGCAGTCAAGTATCCAGGGACACATGTCTCCTTGATGCTCGTCTATGCAGTGAGGATCGGCTGTCCTTCTCATCCGTTTTGTCCTTTGCAACATTCTATCAGCTCCCCTGACATCCTCATCGTGGTCATCATGATTGCCATTAGACTCAGATCTTGAGTTCAACTGAAAAATTCAATTTGTCCAGGTACAAAAGCCACTGTGCCTGTGACTATGTCACCTTCTGTATTAGCCAGGAAAGAGAATAAGAAAGAGAAAATATGTGAGTTGAAAAGAAACACTAAATGGAGTGCTTATTTAAACATATTCTAAAATATGTTTGTCTACTTGACCTAACTACTGACTTAAACGCAATAAGAAGGCATTTTAACACCATTAGTATCTGGATTTCTGCCAGAGAAAGCTCCTTGCTTTATATCCCCTTAGGCTGTACTGATGAAACTACCTTAAAATGGGGTTTAATAGCACTTAATCCATTTTAAATGCTAAAGCAACCAGTAAAGTGTATCAGATGATGAAAAAAATAAGACTCTAGAGGTTAAAGAAAGTATTCCAGCAGGGACTTCCTTGCTTATATATAAAATGTGTCGAATTTTCTCTTGGAGTCATGGTGAGGACGTGTCTTTCACCAGGCAGTGGTTCCGGGCAGATATTGCTTTGCTCCAATAGCAGTGATGTTGCTGCTTCCACTGGTGTGTTTTTCTAGACGTCACAGTCCAATCATCACTGCAGATTTGGCTGATGCTGGGGGTCTTGGTAGTGGATGGTAGCAGCATACTAAAATGTTTTCCACGCAGTAAAATTAAGCAGTCCAAATTCAGATGCAGACTGCTCAGGGACAAGACGCTAAGTGCTTCTAAGTGTTTTGTTGAGAGCCAGTGTTTAAGTAAACATTACAAATTACGGTTGTCTAGTAAATAACGTGGACTGAAGCCCTGGAGAAATTTATTATTCATAATATACATCATTTTGTCAGCTGGATCATGTAGCTTTTTTCTCAAAGAAATTGACGGAGGTTTTGGTTTGATTGCTGGCAAGGAGCAGTAAGTGCTTTTCAAAGATCCAGGCAAGGCCAGGGCTTAAGAATCTCCCAAGCCGAACCTCTGTCACAAAAGGCAGTCCAGAGAGGCAGCCAATCCTTGCTGAACATGCGTGCTCCGACAGTCGTTTTGGTGTTTTGTTGGCTCAGCTGCAGCATCCTCGGAAGGGTACGTGGTCAGTTGAGACCGTCTTTTATTGTGTTTGCCCTGAGGAGCCCAATAAGACTTCTTCCCCAGGGCTTGAGGATTAGTCACTAGGTAGCATTTTAGTTGCATGTGTTTCTTCCCTTTTGAGCCCTCTCATGTATATATGTGTGTGTGTGCATGCATGCATTTATTTGTGTAGTTATGTGAAATAAAGTTTAACAATAATTTTCAGTACTATCTGGAGAAATGAACAGGTAAATACATTTTTTCATTTCTTGCCGTATATAATGCCCTTTGTGTTTGTACTTTAGTTTCAGTATGTAAGGGCACATGGCTTCTATTCATGAATTTGTTCATTTATGCAGAGAATGTTCCTTGTGCTCCAGCTATGAGCCAGCACTGTGCTAGGCCCTGGAGATCAGACAGGCAGAGAAGGAAACCACGATTACAATGCAATAATCTCCAGGCTGTGGTAGAAATAAGAATGGTGCATTATGCAAACGTGATGACATGACACTTGTCTCATCCTTTCAGATCAGAGAGATCTTCCTGGAGAAGGCAAGCCCTGAGCTGAGTCTTAAAGAAGGAACTATGTAAGAGAAGAGGGAGAGTTCAAACAGAAGAAAGAGTGTGTTTCAAGTCACAGAGAAGAAAGAGAGGCCATGCCAGGGAATTGCACTTGGTTGGGCCTGCCTGGAGCTCAGCATTTGCATGGGGGTGAGGCAGAAAATGGGATATTAGAGAAGGTGAAAGAGGCTGGCTTTGGTGTATAGAATAAAGTTATCTGTGGCAGAAGAGACCATAAAGCACTTTCTTAGTTTCCTTTGTGGAGACAGGGAAATCAGTTTTCAGTTTTCTCATGTGTAAAATGAGGTATTCGGACTCTACAATCACCAAGGCCTTTTCCAGCTCTAAGATTCTGTGATTCTATGAATTTTTGGTACCTTGCAAGAAAACATAAAAGTATTCATGAACACATGAATCAATATTCTCTTCTGTAGGAGAAAACAATTCCATTATCTCAAATTTATATTTGGAAATCTGATATGGTATTAGACATGTTTCACACACAATCACCCCTTTTAATTATTAAAATGGCACCTATTGTTGGTATAAGGAGAAAAAATAGATAATTACAAATATTTATTGTTGTTTACAGTTCCATTCTTAAAGAAAATGTGAGATCTCTCAACTTGTGCTTAAAATTTCTTAGCAAATTAAAATGTTAATTGAAACTATTACCCTGAGATGAAAGGCAACATATTTTAGTAGAAATATAATGGCAAAAATTCAAGTAAATATTAGTCATTATTATTTTTTATCAATGTAAAACTAGGCCAATAAGATTACTTTGAGAGTATTTATATGAAAAGGAAAAAATAATTTCTCAATTTGCTCATTTCTCTGTTCCACAGTAGAATTTCATGTGTACAGTTTTCAGCCTCATCATTATTAGTAATTTCTACCTTTTCATCAACTGAAATGTCAATCAATTTACACCTAATTAGATATAGACACATACGTTCAGATACATACTTTATTTTGTGTTGCCAGAAATCTATAATTACTGTAAAAATCTAAAATGACTACATATGTAATTTCATCTCAAGGTCCTTTTCGTAAACCCTTTAAGAAGAATTGAGTCAAAGTAGTTTAATTATTTGGATATATAAATGAAAAAAAGAAGACAGGGGATCTGAGTTATTTATTCAGAATCACACAGCAAGCACAATGACAAAATGAGAATAAAATTTAATAGTCTAGAACCATACAATTACACTGCCATTTAGACTTACCAGCCCTACTGAACCTACTAATATACTGGTTTTCAAGTATTCCATTTTATACCAGATAGCCAGGAAATCAGTCTCTTCAGTTACAGTCAAAACACACAGTCTCATTTATTCAACAAATACTTGTAATGTGACTAAGGTTTGCCAACTATAGAATTAACCACTGAAGTTTCAAGAGCAAATGGAAGCCAATCTTTGTTCCCAAGGAGTTCATAGTACTATGAGGATCCCACTCTGTAACGTAGCAATAACAAGCTTTATAATAAATGCAAATAGGAAATAAGCTTGAGGTACTTTGAAAGGGTATCTTAGAGGGGATTCAATCCAATTTGTGGAGGCCTTAGAATGTCCCCTAAGGAATGACTTCCAAATTGGTGTCTATGGAAGAAGGTGGAGTTAGAGAGAAGTTTGGGATTCTGAGAAGTATCAGTATTTATAGGTTATGTGGAGGAAGATAAGCACAAATGAGCCTGAGAAGAAGCATCCAAAGGGGAGATGGAAGATGCAGGAAGCAAGACTTTTTGGAAGCCCAGGGCATAAGAAATTTCTAAAATAGAAAGTTTGTTAAAGTTGAAGACTGCAGAGAGGTTAGGGAAGAAAATGATCAGAAAACAGATGATAGATTTATCAACAATACCATTAGTATCCAGGTATGAACTAGAATCAATTCATGAAATGATAGGAGTAGAGTCCAAAAGGCAATGGGTTTAATAGTGACTTTGAGGTGAACAAAGGTGACCAATCTCTTTAAAAGTGTAGTCACATAAGGAAAAGATGTAGTAAGATGGAGAGAGGGAAGGGTTGGTGGGAGGGTTTTTTGTTTTTTTGTTTGTTTTTTAATGATATGAGAGCCTGAGCATGTTTAAATACGAATGAGAAGTATCTAGGATCAGATGTCAAGTAGAAAGCAGTTTAAGGGAAGGCATATTTGACCAAGAAAGGATTGAGATTATAGTGTCCAGTGCATACAGTGAGGGATTAGCTTTAGATGAGGAAAGGGGACTACTTCAAATAAAAAGGATTAAGTGTTAGAAGGTTGTCTTGTAGGTAGGTATTGGGTATTGGAAGTTGATGGTGTTCCTATCTAATATCTTCTATTTTCTCTGTGATGTAGCATATGGAGCCAGGGCTGGGATGGAGGGGGTAGGATGTTTGAGAAGAGATATTTTGAAACGATGATAGAGGTGGCACCATTATCTAGCAGCACAGTGGGCATAGTTGTGGCTGGGTATGCTGTATTTATATTAATTTGATATCAAGTGATTTTTTTCAACGGTGGTAAAAGCCAGCTAGAGGAGAATGAGGGTTCTTAGATGGACAAGTGTTGATATATTGGACAACTGAGACCAGATTGAAAGATAAGGGACAAGGGAACAGGAGAGGGATGATAGATAGTAAAAAAAATAAATGAATGAACACACTGGAATATCAATAAGATTGGAGTTTAGACATATTTGTGATAATAACTAAGTAAGAAATCTGAAAGGCAACAGATTGGGGTGTAATAGAATTTCATATTTCACAAATGGAATAGGTCAGTTTGTTCTATTTCAGTCTGGCTTCATTTGCTTTTGGTTTTATTGCCAAAGCCTAAATTTTCACCTTGGGGGTGGGTAGTTGAAATGAATGCAGTTATTTATTGAGATTAAAATGTTAAAGAATCAAAGAATGACTGAGTTGGATGAGTGACACTCATGTCATTTGGGCAAAGCTCCATCTTTCCCCAAGTTCTAACAATGAACTTAGGTGACTGGCAAAAACTGCCTGTGTGTTCACACTCATAGCATCTTGCCATCCTACACAACACCACTCTTCTGTCAGCTACCAATGTTTAGTAATGTCCCCACACTGTTTACTGGTGGGTAGGACATCCACATCCATGCAGAAAAGTTTGGAGAGGCATGCATGCTGTGGAATGGTGAAAAAGGGCACAAATCGTCTGAGAAAATACAGTCCAGCTTGAAATAAAAAGCCAGGAGAGCACAGAAGACTGGAGGAACTTAAATCTGGGACTGGGAAGCAGGATAAGTAAGATAACAAGCCAACTCTTTCCAAAATAAACGGGCCCTGCAATGTCTTAGTGGATGGAGAGAGGGCCAAGGGCAGGAGGCAGAGTGGGACACACATCATCTCTGGAAAGAGAAATTGCTGAAACTACCCTAATTTGCCTTAGGAAGAATCCTACTCTGATAGGAAAAACAGACTGTAGGACTATTTAGTACCCAGAACACTGTAAATACTGTTTAATCTCATTCCTTCCTCCTCTCCTCTTTCTCTCTTTCCCTGTCACCCCACCATCCATTCTCTCTCTTAGTTTTGTCTTCTCCACACTCTTTTTTTTCTCTTTCCTATATCTTCCCCCACCATAAAAAAATAAGATTCAATGAGGTGCAAGGATATAAAGCTGTGGCTGAGGAATCTCTGCTGAGACTTTCTTTGCCTTGCTGTGGACACTGTCTAGAAGGATCCAGTGTTCTCTGCCTGGCCCATGATTAAGTAGTAGTTCCAATCCAGCCCAAGGCCAGCTGTCTCTGCTTCCAGAAGCAGCCCTTTGCCCATGGGATACCCTTCATTCTGCTTGCCAGTGACCTTTCAACAAAGTGTAATTCAGCAGAGCTGATTCTGGTCCTTTATTGCTCAACCTGCAGTAACATGTAGACACATATGGATGCGCTCTCACATTCACCTGTGCCATCTGCCCTCCTCCAGCCTCTGCCTCTCAGCCTTTGCTCCTTGACTGCTTGTATGTCCCATTGGAATGGTACATATCCACTTCCTTCATATTAAAAGTAAACTCATTCTATATATGATTGTCAAATTCTGAAGGCCTCGGCAAGCTAGAGGTTACCATTGATTGTTTAGCGGTGACTCATTTCATTGTAGGATATCACCTTTTCCTTATTTCAAATAAAGTGGCAGCTGGAGGGAATTGACAGTGGTGCTCTTCTTTCTTCCTTGTGGGAGAGATTCAAAAAAAAAAAAAAAGGAAAGAGAGAGATACCTTCATGAATCATGCAAGTTGTCTCTTACCATGCCAAGGAAATTATCTTCTCTACACTACCCATCAATACCATTGACCTTTGTCATAAAAAGCAGGTCGCTTATATCTATATCCCATTAAAAGGCATCATCTTACAATCACTTCTTCACTACTATTAAAGTCGTGTCAAAAAGAATCATTGACTTATTGTCAAACACATCCAACCTTCCACATTAATGTACCCAGAGACACCTCACTAATCAGCAGGCAAACAATGCCAGACACCCAGGGAAGCCCAGGGAAGCCAGGGGAAAAAAGGTCTCTGATGTCACCCTCCCTGGCTGACCCGTGCATTTTCTCTCTATCTTGTACATTGGCACAGTTGATGGCATTTAGTTTAGCGCATCAGTCTTTATACATTTAGAATGAGTGCTACTTTTTCTCTATCACTGTCTAAAATGTATCAGTGGCAGAAATTACGTAGCATTTCAAAGGATGCAAATGAGTCCTTATGACCCCTCTGGCCTTAAGCAGCAGAGGGTATTAAATAGGTGCCAAACAACTGCTTGTTGAGTATATCTTTTGGTGGAATTAACAGAAAAATAAGGTGGTTAGCTTGCAAAATGACAGACGTATTGTGTGTTATGTGAATTCCAGTAAATAAAACAATACTTTGGCCTGGTTTGGTCAGGTAAGGCTTCCTGCAAAAGAGGCGTTCAAGTGAGCAGTTTAATGAAGGTAGAATTTGAACATCTGGATAGAAATAGAGAAGGATTTCTGGACAGCAAAATATAAAGGAAAAACTAATTCTGGAAATGAAAATATGCAAGAAAGTGAGGGGAATTATGAAAAGAGGGTCTTGTCTAGAGTTGGGTGCATATTGGTGATAGGAGAGCTATATTCAAATAGGGATAGTATCTAAAGATAACTGAGCACCAGGCAAGTATTTTTTTATTTTCTTCAAAATGCAGAGAGTAATTTTTTGAGGTTTTGAGCACTTATAATGAAATATATAGCCAGC